CTTGGCATGGGTTTTCCTGTCCCTTAGCTAGCAATCTAAGAGTTGTGCCTTTGAGGCAAAACCAACATACATCTTTGTTATGTGCTGTCAATTCAGAAGCAATTCATGGCTGACCCTCCAGCAGGTTTTCAGAGGAAGTTAAATCCAATGGGAGTGGACTGCCCATCTTTCTCTCACGGAGCTGCTGGTAGATTCAAGCCTTGTACCCGTGTGGGTCAGCAGTGCAGCTCCTTACCACTAGGCCACCAGAGCTCCCTTGACTATCAATTTAGTGATTTATAAAATAGTAGGAATTACCTACTTCACACATCTGTCGGAGGATTAAATCCAAAAAAGTGAAAGTCCTTAGCCGGGCAACAGGCATACAGCTGGTGTCCAAACAAAACAAGTTGTTTTATTACTTAAAAGATACAACACGGCTATTCTCTCTACTCTGAGATTCTGTGTACCTTTAGTTAAAACCAAATTAGAACTCGATCTACCTAGTCTGTTCTTAGTCCAAAGTTGCAGCAACAATTTGCTATTCATTAATTAGCACATACTTCTTTTACTTTATCACAGTCTGATGTTTTGATACTCTTTATAAGCTCCCTCTCCCTTTTTGACAAGTATTACAGAATAGTTACAGTAGTTTTCTTGTACTTCAATTTAATATTAAACGGCAAAAAAGGCAGACCAGATTATTTTCCAACTGATTATTTAGTCTGCTTATCTCACAACCAAGGGGAACTGAAGACAGTAAATGCGTACTTGAGATTCCCCTGTACAGGAATACTTATCTGCCAATAAGCAAATTTTAGAATGTAGGAGGTTGCATGAAGATATGCAAAGCAAACAATACCCCTTTTTAAAAGTAGGTCCCTTTTCTGTAATGAACATTACAATCTTAATTGTATCAATACAATCTTAAATATACACTTAAAATATCCCTAACCCCTAAAAATAGTGACTCGTCACAAATCAGCAAGAAAGAAATCTTTGACTAAAAGGAAAACTTTTTCATAATTGTAGCCTAGAAAGCTGGGATATCAAAAGAATAAAAATGTTATCTTCGTGCTCAAGTCAAATTCAATGCTGTTAAGTTGGTTCCTACTCAGAGATGAGCCTCCATTGGGTTCCCAAACTATAAATCACAAGTGGGTGGCTCATCTCTTTCCTGTGGAGTGGCTAGTGGATCATAACTACCAGGAGAAGCTGAGCCTTTGAATTAGCAGCCTAACTCCCTATGGACCATGCTGCCAGAGCTCCCCTTTAGTACTAGAAACATAAATTCAAAGTTGCCTCTGGGTAAGCAAGTACAACAGAGGGCTTAGTTTACAAATTTATTTATAAAAGAAACATCTTTTTGCTTTGGTAAAACAAGCCTTTCTAATTATGAGACAATTCTTATGGCAGTAATGCTAGGAAAACGACCCAGATAATTTCCAAACAGCTACTTCTCTAAACAGAACAAACAATCCTCGGCTGATAGTGCACATGTGGTCAGGAGGGGCCAGTCCTTAGAAAAAGATGTGCTGGAAAAGGTGGACGGTCAGAGAAAGAGAGGAAAGACCCCTCCAACAAGATGAACTGACAAAGCAAATGTCAACAATGGGCTTGAGCATATCAGAGATGGTAAGGACTGTGCAGGATAGGGCAAGATTCAGATCTGCTGTTCCTAGGGTCTCTATTAGTTATTGGTGACTTGATGGCGTCTAACAACAGGCAACCAGAGCCCCCTTCATCAAATAATGGTAAGTTCAAACTTGAAAAGGGTCCTGATAGTTGAAAACAAACAAACAAAAAAACCCCAACAGCCCTGTTCTGTGGATCTATTTGTCTCCTAAATCTCGCCCTTCTTCATACCTATTACTATTTTCCTTTTAATTTTTCAATTCAATCATATCTAGCTGTTAGTTGGCAGTTCCCACCCTTTCAATGCTTGTTCTCCATCAAGATAAGGGTTGTTAAAAAAACCCACCAAAAACCATTTTATATGTTTAGAACATTGGGGGGGAAAAACTCCAAAATTTTCTCAGCAAGAGATTCCTTCCATTTTAAAATGAAGAAACTGAGTATGCAATAAACAAATCAAACAGAATCTGCAATGCAGAAAACTAAGAATACAGTTATAGTTACCTCTAATTACTCCACAGAAAAGAGATGGGCAATTTCCTCCCCATAAAGATTTACAGCCTCAGAAATCTAATAGAGGGTTGCTATGAGTTGAAATCAAGTTGAAGGTTTTAGGTTTTTAATAAATGCTACTGTTACCAGTGGTTGTTATCAAAGTGACTATTTAATCAGTACTCTGGTGTCTTAGTGGTAAGAAGCTGTGCTGCAATCCCAAAGGCAGTTCCAATCTACTGGGTGCTCTAAGGGAGGATGGGCCAACCTCCTCAAGTGTGATTTACTGCTTCAGAAAATGCCCTGGAGGGTCACCTATGAGTTGGTTCTGATTCCACAGTACACAGTAACAATGAATTGCAGTATGCTGAAATTTAACTTTCCAGTAAATTTAAAATTTTTATACTTAAGGAAAACCTTACTGGGGGAAAAAACCTTTAGCCCAGATCTCACAGCTCTTGAATTTCTTCTCGGACAGAAGCAAGTTTAGCTCTCTGTTGTAGACAGAAAACAGACCAGTTACATATGGACTTTGGGGTTTTTTTAAAAATTTACTCACTGAAACACCTGCAACTGCTAACAAAAATCCCCAACTCCCATTCCCACTACTACTCTTGGAGACAAGTTTGTGTGCATTGTATTTTTCCATTATAGATGGTTTAAACCATACTTTTAAAACTATTTAATAAAAGGTATATAACTTAGGCAGTCATCAGAACAGAGCAGGGTAACACTGCATGGTTCAAAATTGGGAAGGGTGTACGCCAGGGATATGTCCTATCTCCATACCTTTGCAACCTGTATGCAGAGCAGATTATCCGAGAGGCTGGGCTCTATGAGGAGAAGCGTGGGGTCAGGATTGGTGGAAGATCTATTAACAATCTGTGTTATGCAGATGACACAACCCTGCCTGCCGAAACTGAGGAGGACCTCATGCACTTGCTGCAGAGGGTCAAGGACTGCAGCCTTCAACGTGGACTGAGGCTCAATATCAAGAAGACAAAGATTCTCACCAATGGACCAACTGTAGCATCAGGATGGACGGCGAAGAGATTGAGATTGTTCACAGCTTCAGTTTGCTCGGCTCCACTGTCAACACTCTTGGCACCAGCAGCCAGGAAATCAAAAAACGTATTGCGATGGGGAAGTCTGCTGTTAGGGACCTCTCTAAAGTACTCAAGAGCGATGGTGTCTCTCTGGAGACTAAGGTGTGCCTGATACAGGCCATGGTCTTTGCAATCACTTGTTATGCATCAGAGAGTTGGATAATGACTAGGGAGGATAGAAGGAGAATTGATGCCTTTGAGCTGTGGTGCTGGAGAAGAGTATTGAATGTACCATGGACTGCCAAGAAAACAAACAGATTCATCCTGGAGAGGGTTAAACCAGGCTACTCCTTGGAGTCAAGGATTCTGGGGCTTCGTTTAACATACTTTGGACATGTTGTTAAGGAGGGACAGGTCCTTGGAGAGGGACATCATGCTTGGTAGGGTGGAGGGACAGTGCAGGAGGGGAAGACCCTCCATGAGGTGGATTGATTCAGTGACTGGGATAATCAGGATGAGTGTGTCAGAGGTACAGGATAGAGCAGGGTTTAGGGTGTTGTACACGGGGTCGCTATAAGTTGCAAGCAACTTGGCGGCACGTAACAACAACAACAACAACATATAACTTAAGACAGACTATAGAAATGACATGTTATCCATGATTTACAATTTAAAAAAATAAACTCAGCCACAAAAAAGGTCAAAGCTAAAAACAAGATTTTTACTATGAATCAGTGCTTCTATTACCCTTCTGAAAGAAGTTATATTTTAATGTGATGTAAAGGCAACATTGAGTTTTTCTTTAAATTAACCACCTAATTTATCCCTAAAATTACAAAGAATCAAAGTCTCTTACAGGTCGAGTGCAGTAAACTAAAATGTTCTTTCAGCACAAAGCAGCACTAGAGAAGTACCAGTTCTAGATGGGAGTTGGCTAGTTTTGCTGTGGCTGCTCCATCAGTAACAGGCGGGCATCAGCCGGCATCCATCCCAGAGCACAGACACAACTACGGACTAGATGTGAAGAATGCGTCCCACTCGTTGATAAATGTTGTCTTTGAATCTTTCTAGTTTGAACGAAGTGGACTTTTTTAAATATGAGTTCAAATTAGGTCACATAAGTTGGCTTAAATAACATCACGATGAGGTATGAGAGCTCTGAATACCCCTAATATTCAGCAGGATTTCCCAGAGACGTGTAATAGCTTCTCAGGGGCAACTTTCAAATAGTTTATACTTTGGGACTATCAAGAATTCTAGAAGAGGACAAGTCAGAAAAGGTTTAAAAGGTATGCTCTCAAGCAGAGGTGAGCAACTTTTTCCTTCAGAATTAATTCTGAATAGCATATCCACAAGACATCTTCTCTGATGGTGTGTCCCAACATTGAATCAAAATGGCCGGCTAGCACCGAGAAGTCATATTCAATTCATCTGCAGTTCTCTTGGCAATTAAGCTTGTTTTTCACTCCAGTCCAAGCACAGATGTGGATCACTGCACAGAGTACTGGAAGCGTCATTTGCAGGTAGAGATTGCAGTCATTAAGTGAGCCATAAGGTGAAGACTATTATTTTACTTGGGGAGAGGTGGGAAGTTCTAGTAGGAAATGAAATAAAATGGTTAGGGAACAATGAGTGTAAGAAAAAGATCACTTCCCTTAGCCGGATTTAGAGGCCATGTTGAGAAGATGGTAACTGGCTTAAGATAAAAGATGTAATATTAAAGGGGATCATAAATGCAGCATGAATACATTATAATCAAGCTGCACTTGGTGAAGTAAAGGAACCCATAGAAGTATTATCCCGCATTCACAGAAGGAAAAAAGCACCTAGGGTGAACTCCAATTAACAAGGACCTTGATCAGGACCACAAAGCCTGAAACATCTGCTTTAATGAAGAAACACAGCCTCTATTCACACTGGCTGAGTTTGGGGAGACTGAAGTTTCTGAAACTTGAAAGTTTTTAAAATTTAATTACAGGATAGTGTTTTTGATTACTAAGGATTCTAAATCTTCATACCAGCATGAGAACTGAATCACTTCCAAATTCCAAGACACATAAGACCAAAGAGAAGCAAAGCAATACAAATTAACATATGCCCCTCTCTTTTCTGCTCTAGGGGAATCTGCAAACCAGTATCACATTTAAGAATCCAAGTGTTAAATTCTTCAGCATTCCTGACAACTAGAAAGCACATTCACTGAAGGCTGAAGGTGAGGGAGTGGATGGTTTAACTTCAATTATCTGTGAAGAATGGCGCCAAGAGAGGAAAGAAAACCATCCAATCTCAGGAAGGAATAATGCAAATCTGGGTGGAAAAAGCCACCAGGTAATCCAACGATTCACTGTGGAAGAACTCATGAAAAGTACTCTGAAATATACACAAGTCTAAACATCTCTCTTGCTGCAAGTAGTTGTGTGAGATTCAAGATAAAGGTTTAGTTTCATTTTTTTATTGTCATTATTTTCCCCACTTAGGGAATGAGGAGTCCTCTCTTTTCCCCCACAATAAAGGGAGCCATATTAATATCCCCATGACTCTTATATAACTGCAGATCTCCAAAGCCTAGGGATTTTCCCTAAGAGAGTGGGCCGGGTATGCCACCACAGAGAGCCAGAGGTTTTCCAGATGTGTGTAAGAGAGCAGGTGCGCAAGGCAAGCAAATGAGCGCAAACAGTATTATGGAAAACATTTGAGAAGTTAGCTCCATGAGGACTGTGGGCTCCACAAGAGGACTCGACCGGGTCGCCTGGTCTGACACAGGAACATGACAGCAGAGTGCTGCTTCAAAGCTGGAAACCATCCATAGGAGCCTCACACTGCTGGAAGATGTACTGTTGCTGGCTAAGATCCACCTGGGGTGCAATGTTGCTGTCTTCATCTTCAGTCCCGAAGTAATGCTCAATGAGATCAAAGGCCTTCTGGTAAATTTCCTGGTTTTCATGACTCTGTAAGAACTCAATTTTATCCAGACCTAGAATAAAAAATAAAGGAAAAAATTTATAATAAATCTTGTGTAAAGTCCAGAGACATTTCTTGCCATGTCTGCTATGATGTGACGTTTTTGTACTTTTTGTAATACCACAGAAATAATTGCTAAGATTGCACTGGAAGGCTTGTATTACCAATTGACATCTCAAGACCGTACATAAGTAATAGTCTATACAGACAAGAATTTTTAACTACCTAGTCTCTGAGCTATTTTATACCATTTCAAATGGATATATTTCCTAAAATCAGAATCAACTAACATTTAATCTAAGAAGTCCAACTAGAACAATTAACCAATGCATCCTTTCCCTAATAACTTTAACTTCAGTGAGGTTTTCTTCCTCACTGAAGTTAAAGTCACCAAACTAAGAAACACCACAAACAATAATAAATCTTAACAATGATGGGAGAAAAAACCAGATATATCCACACATTAAAAAATACATACAGTAGAATAGCATATTTGAAAAATAATTTAAAAAACTTTTCACACTGAAAAGATACAGCTCTTATAAGGTCTCTAATTCTAATCTCGGGAATAAATACATTTTGAAGTGCTTTTAAGCCGAGCTACAGCAAAATCACTGAGGGAACCTTTGTGGTTTTTCTTTTAGAATAGTGAATCAATAATTAAGAGCAGAACTGAGAGTGACTTCAGAATTAGAATGAAAAGAAGTAACACTCTTCAAGATGATCTCAGGATACAGGAATTGGTGGATGTAAGGAAAAATTAGAACTCTAAATTCTCTGAGAGAACGTGAGAAATGTCAAGCATAACTGATAATTCCAACATTTTCATTTATTTTAAAGCTTGGCTTTTTTGGCTATGGTTATGCTAATTCAAATTTTATAACAGTCAGTAAAGGTAAAATAAAAATAATTTTTAAAATTTCAGGAAAATCTATACCTATATTTTTAGTCAAATAACAGACTACGTTAAACTTTTTTTTCTTTTGGTCATATACAGCAAATACTCTTTCTTACCATAAGCTTCTTCAATCAATGCACAATAAGGGTTAATGCCATTGCCATTCCTTTTGGCTTCTTGTTCTCCAAGCCTCAGTATATTTTCTAAGCCATTTAGGGCAACTTGTACAATCTTAGAGTCCATGACTGTGAGGAGATCACAGAGTGGCTTGATACAACCCAGTTCTACAAGGTACCTACAAAGAAGAATTTAGTCAAAGTTTTAGTGTTTTATCACATTACCAACTAAATTTCCTCAATACGTACCACAAGTTGATCAGAAGTTGTTTTTTAAAATTTTCCCCAATTTTGCTATTAAAACTTAGTATTTTAAATAAGGCATTATAGGCAATTGATATGTTTAATTAAATGAAGTTTTCTGAAATATCACCTTCACAAACGTTTTTACCAAATTGCAGATTAACTCCCCTTCCTCCCAAAATAATGTCTGGGAAGAAAATGAATGGAGTCAACAGAGAAAAGATCTACTGAGCTAGCAAAGACTTGCTGTGACCTCAACAACATTGTTGTACTGTTCAGTCAGAACCAACCCATAGCTGACCCACCAGTGGGTTTTCAGAGGCAGTAAATAGCACGGGAGAAGACTGCCCATCCTTCTCCTGCAGAGCACCTGCAGATTTGAACCGTGTGCCTTTGGGATTGCAGCAAAGCTTCTTGCCACTAGGCCACCAGAGCTCCTGACCTCAACTACAGTACACTCAACTTGTTGTTGTTAATTGCCTTAGAGTCGAGCACAACTCATAGTAACACTTTGAACAAAAGGCTTGAAGCCTTTTTTCTATTATCAAAGCTTCTTTAATCTACTGTAAGCATTCAAAATGTCATAAATTTGTCCGCTTTGCATCATGATTTAACATTGCTAGTCTCATTAGAATATAACATCAGTAAATTGGTCTCAAAGAAATATTTTATGTATTTAGCAGTAAGAAGCTCTGATGAGACAGTGCAGCTGACAATTAACTTCATTATACACAGGTATGCTGAATTTTAAGATACTACTCCAACAGAGTAAAACTGAACAATTTCTAATGAAATACCACTGTTACACACTATTTCTGAAAGATGAAACTGAAAATAAAATATACATGTAGTTTATTTTAATTAAGAAGACACAGTTAGCAAAAAACAAGGCAACTGAGTATTTGAAGTCAAACAGTGTCTGCAGATAATTCAGTATCTCACATCACTGCCATCTGCTGGTAACATACTTACTTAAAACAGTGTAGACTATAGAATCAGAATCTTGAAAAGCGGGAAAAGGCTTAATAATCTTGTGTAAATGTGTTTTTGAAGTTTCATGGAAGCATCTTTTAAATAATATGTCCATGATAAACTTTACCGAAATAATTATTGCGCAAGTTAAACCGTTTATAATTTTAATATGTCACATATCTTATCACTTATACTTGATCCATCTGATAGAATGTCTTTACATTTAAAAAAATGTTCTAAATACTGCACTAAAAATTAGCACTTAAGGTGCTTACATGAGGCACTTCATCTACAACATTCCCTCTCCATTTAACAGGCAGGCAACCACATGAGCCGTAGGTAGCCATGTTTCCCTAACAGCACATATAGAGAATGAGTTCAATGATTTCTTTAACACTCATTTAAAATAATGTCCAACTGGATTTCCTATAAATGCTTCATTTTTAGATCTCTTTTTCCATCCAAAATAACGGAACTCTGGTGGCCTAGAGGCAAGAAGCTATGGGGCAGTCGTGAAGGCACGCAGTCCAAATCCGCCAGCTGCTCTGCAGAAGGATGGGTACATCTCTTCCCATGCGATGAACTGCCTCTGAAAATCTGCTGGAGCGTCAGCTATGTGTTGGTCCTAACTCGACAATATATACAATAACAGTATTAAATTTAGAATTTAATTACATAATGTTCTGAAACTGTTTCACATTCTCGTACCTATCTTTCAAGTGTGATATAAATTTCTAAACTAGAAATTTAGCAAGGGATAGGTATTAAGAGTTAAAATCTAAGGATTCTCCAAATAATCTTTTAGACTATCCAGATGTCTCTAACTAAGATGCTCCAGCACTGGTTTAGAGCTATCCTGTATTTCTACTGCCTCAGATCTCAACTAAGCCTTATTTCTCACATCCCAGGATCATAATCATCAAGAAGTGAAAAGTTAAAAGGAACTAAATATACATTTGAGTCAAATTAAGAAATACAGAAAAATCCTTCAGAGTGCTGAAATGAAACATTCTTTAATATAATTATCTCTCACTCATGGCATCTTCAAATGTAAGTGATTTTTCATTCCAGGTAATAGAGAAAGAGTAAGGGGGGAGAAGTTTGGGAGCGTAAGGGACAGAAGGAGAGAGAAAGAGGAGGGAGGGAGGCGGCATGAACCCTTGCACACCAGGACATTATCTGGCTAGTACTTACTTGATCTGTTCAGCTGATCCTCCAGAAGTTGCATTCGTGATGGCCCAAGCTGCTTCCTTCCTTGTACGAAACTCAGCAGTTTGTAATATATTAATGAGGGCTGGGAAAATGTTGGCATCTATCACAGTCTGAAATTTTAAAATGTTGAAATGCAAAGTGAAATGATAAGATTTTTAATAATATTCATGATACTAACTACTAACCACTACTGGGGTCTTGGAGAAGAGTACTGAATGTCCCTCCTCTGGATTATCAAAAGAACAAACAAGTCTATCCTGGAAGGGGAAGGATGGTGAAACTTCACCTCATTAACTACAGGCATGTTGTGAGGAGAGGCCAATCTTTGAGAAAAAAGACACTTGTGCTGGGAAAAGGAGAGGATCAGAAAAAGAGGAAGACCCTGAACAAGATGAACTGCCACACTGACTTTAACAATGGGCTTGACATTTTGAGAAGACAAAGGTTATGGGATTACCTGGATCTGTGCCCTATTTCCAGCTGTGATATTAGATATTGTCCAACATGCTTCCTTTTTGATAGATTCCTTTGGGCTACTCAGCAAATGCAATAAACTTTGCAGAGCTGAGCAATTCAATATTACCTAAAAAAGAAAGTTTGAAAATTTTATTTATGACACTGAGTTACCAAAAAGGAAATTTTTAACTCAAAAAATATTTTTAGCAAATAAGCACAAAAAATAATACCTCCACTTTCAGGGAAAAAGCTTTTTAAACAAGATAAGCAATAGTATAAAAGAAAACAGAACCAAGACATGGACACTTGTTTGTACACCTATGTTTACAGGGGAGCTCTGGTGGCCTAGTGGCAGGGACTACACTGGCAACCCAAAGGCAAGCATTTCAAGTCCAACTGCTCGGTAGATGAAAAACAGGCAATCTCCTTTCATGTGATTTACTTCCTCTGAAAACCTGCTGGAGGGTCAGCTATGAGTCAGTTACGACTGGACATTATTTCCTGCCGCATTATTCCTAACAGCAAGAAGATGAAAATAGCCCATATGCTCATCAACAAACAAATGTACAGCGGAACTGTGGTGCAATCATGCATTGGAACATTATGTAGCACCAAAAAGAAAAAAAAATTGTAAAATAACATACAATATGGACAAATCTAGAAAACATTATGCTGAGTGAAATTACTTAGTTACAAAAGGATAAATACTGTATAAGACTGTTACTGTGAAAATGGAGAGCAAAAAACAGAGACTGTGAATAGTATGGATCAGGGGAAGAAAGGATGAATAAATAAACTGTATAGCTACTACAATTAACACTTTGTAACAGAACATGTTACAATACAGGAATGAGAAGAGAAAAATATACTAGGGAAGCAGAGAGTAGATAAAGGATAGGTGGAGTGAGGTAAGATTAATTCATTATTAATCTAGACAAATTAATTGTCTAGAAAATAAACAAGTCAGAAGTTAAAGACAATAGATAAAAGTCAGGGGAAATTAGGGGGAAAATTAGCCCTTAAATATGTATCAGACATATACATATATGTCCAAATCATTGAGGAGAAATAATGTCCGTTTGAGGACTAAGGTGTGTTTGACTCAGGTCTTTCCAATTACTTGCTATGCATTTGAGAACTGGACAATAAATAAGCATGACAGAAAAAGAATTAATGCCTTTGAGCTGTGGTGTTGGAGAAGAGTGCTGAATATCCGTCCCATGGATGTCTAAGAGAACAGATATATCTTGAAAGGGTGCAGCCGGAGTGTTCTTTGGAGGCCAAGAATGATAGGACTTCACCTCACATACTTTGGGCATGTTGCTAGGTGGGGCTATTTGGCAAAGGAGAGGAAGACCCTTAACCAGGTGGACTGACATGGTGACTGCTGTAATAGGCTCTTGTGTATCAAGAAATGTGAGGATGGGGCAGGATAGAACAGGGTTCAGACCTTTTGTTCATAGGGTCACTATGAGTGCATCCTCGACTCAATAGCACCTAACAACAATTATATATATTCATATATATAAAAATACATCACATATATACATAGAAAAATATACATCAGAAAACAAGGAAAAACACTGCAAATATAAAGCTGAACATGAGCATATGCTGAAATAGGCTAACACAAACTAAGACAAGAATGGATTAAGTGAGGCTATAAGGAAGAGTCCTATAGCTACAACTTAGTATTAGGCTAGAAAGAAAAATACATAAATATGAACAGATCTACTTTAGTAAAGATCTGCGATATAATCTCATTGTTCGTTGAGTCAGAAGCAGCTCAAAACTGGCCCCGCAGCAAAGTGACTCTACAGCGAGAGACTACCAATCACTCAAGAGGAGACTGTGCTTATTTTTCTCCACTGGTGGATTCAAAGATATATTGGGGAAAATAAGTTAAAAAATTAAAAGTGTTAGTTACTTGGGAATACCCCAACAAAAAGGGAACAAAAGTTTTCACAAATGAACCAATAAGCAACATGATGATAAACATGACACAAGACTGAGGCTATCAATTTCAGTTTACTTGGATCGATAATCAAAATCAATGGAAGAAGAAAAATAAAACCCAATGGAAGTAGCAATAAAGAAATCAAAAGATGTGTTATCAAGGACCAATTAAAAAGGCTAAAGAGCAAGGAAGTTAGTCTAAAGACTAAGGTGTACCTGATCCAATGGTATCTTCAAGTGCTTCATATGCACTAGAAACTCTGATCTATAGGATCACCATGAATCAAAACTGATGGAAAATCAAAATCCAAGCTCATTCAAGGTGATTGTGATTCAAGTGACCAGTAAGAATGAACAGAACTGCCCATGGGGTTTTAAAGGCTGAAATTCCTTCTTGCGGGGTAAGTCACTTACAGAAGCAGACTACCACAAACTTCTTTTGCTTAGTGGTTGTTGTTATGTACTGTTAAGCTAGAACTGAACTAGAGCTGATCCTCTACCAGGTTTCCGGAAGCAGTAAACTATATAGGAGAAGAATGTCAATCTTTCAAACGCACAGCTGCTGGTGGAATCAAATCTCAAGTCCCTGGCTTGGCAGTGCAGCTCCTTATCATGAAGCCACCAGAGCTTGCTAAGTGCTTTGAGAGTTCAAATAACTGACCTTTCAGTTAACCCCCTACCAGTCAAGGGCTTTATCCTTAGGTCAATCACAGATCCTTCAAATCAATGGCATAATTAAGTTTGCATTGTGAAAGTATTCAAATGTGATGAATACAGTGCAGAAAATATCTGAACTATGCAGTACCAGTAATAGCATAAGACAACTTAGTAACTGATGGATGAAAGCTGAGAATACCAGAAAGAAAAAGTTAGTTGTATTTTATGAACTAGGCAAAGGCATTTGACTGCATGAATCATAACATGTTATTAAGTATGTTCATGTGAAACAAAGATGCTATCAGAACAGAACAAGGGAACTCTGTATAGTTTAAAAATCAGGGAAAATGTGCATCACATTAGAACCTCTTTTCTGCATACTTATTACTATTTTCTTTCTTAATCATCTTCCCATTACTTCATACTTCCAAACAATGAAGTCTTATATTTCGACCTATTAGTCAACACCTAGTCTAACCCCTAGTCACAGACTTACTTAATACTTACCTGAATCAGTGGACAGCCAGATGAACATCCATGTATCATCATTGGCCAACTAGACTCAATCCTTTACTTCACCCTCATTGTAGCACTCATATCCATTGCTAGCCTAACTGAAAATCACCTTTTAAAATGGTAACTGCCTAGTATAAACATTACTACTGCCTTATAAACTATCAATGGAGATTAAGTCTCTCTAGTACATCAGGAAAAGGCATACTCAGCCCCACCATCAACACACAAAGCTGATATTCTAATTAAACTACTTTCTTATACATAACCCCACCTATGTATATCATGCATAACATGTATATCGCCATTAATCTGTACTATATATGATTACTTTTACATATATAGAAGAGTCACCATAGACTCTTCACCCTGCTCGTTGGAGACAAGGATTCTGAAGCTTTGTGTGACATACCCTGGGTATGCTCCAAGCAAGGACCAGAGCTTGGAGAGGGACAGTATGCCTGGGAGGGTGAAGGGATAGCACACGAGAGGGAGACCCTCGAAGAGATTGATTCAGTGACTAGGGTAGTGGGGGTAGGTGTGTCAGAGATAATTAGGTTGGTGCAGAATACAGCAGAGTTCAGAGCTGCTGTACATAGTGTTGCTATGCGTCACAAGCATATAACAACATTCGATTTATACACTGAGCAAATTATTTCAGAAGACAACACTATATGAAAAAGAATGTGGCATCAGTTTTGTAAGTAGACTTGTTAATTTCTGTTATGCAGATGGCACAATCTTGCTTGATAAAAATGCAGAAGACTTGAAATTCTTGCTGCAGAAGATCAAAGAATACAGCTTTCAATATGGACTACAATTCAACATCAAGAAAACAAAAATTCTCACCACTGGACCAACAGGCAACATCATGGTGAAAGACTGAGGTTGCCAACAACTATATTTTACTTAGATCCACAATCAGCACCCATGGTAACAGCAGTGAAGGAATCAAATCATGTGGCATGAGGAAAATGTGCTGTCAACAATGTACTAAAGAATAACAATGATCCACCAGATGCTCTGCTACATAAGAAGGGGCCAATCACCACCTGTGCCAGTTGGATGAGACTGGAGAGTACACACAAGGAAAATAAAGAGTAACAATGGCATTTTAAAGACTAGTATCATTTGACATTTTTTAACTGCCCTGGTCTTTTCAATTACTTACTATGCATCTGAGAAGGAAAAACAAAGAATAATCGATGCTTTTGGGCTATGGTATAGGAAATGAGTACTGAATATCCTATGGACTGCCGAAGAACAAGCAAGTCTATCTCGGAAGACGTGTAACCAAGGTGCTCCTTAAGAGGTAAGGATGGTGAAACTTTGTTCACATAATCTGGACATGCTGTCAGGAGGGGTCAGTCCTTGGAAAAGAACATCATGCTAGGAAAGGTGGAAGATCAGAGAAAGAGAGGAAGACCTCCAACAAGCTAAGACTGACACGGTGACTTCAACAATAGGCTCAAGCATTACTAGCATATCAGACAGAGATCCTAAGGATGATACAGGATAGGGCAAGGTTCAGACAGGTGTTTACATGGTCATTATGAATCAACTCAATGGCACCTAACAACAAAAATGACTGAGAGGAAAGGAGGCAGAGAGAAAACAGTCAAGCTTCCTGATGTCCAGATTTCTGGTTTGGAAAACTATTGGTGTTTTTCACAAAGATAAGAAAAAGTACAAGTTAAGGTATGGGGGGGGGGGGGGGGATGGAATTTTTCGCAGGACATGAAAATTTAAAGTAAATATTAAATTTGGGAGAATATATTTGATGTCCTTAGTTTAAGAGGTGAAGATGCTGTTTAGCTCAAAATCAGAGCTAGTTAAGGCTAAACTCAAATTCCCAAGTCTCAATCCACATGCACAGGGATGACAGATAGAAATTAGAAGAAAAAAAAAAAACGTCACTACATAGAAACCTAGGAAGATAACTACTGAAGTCATTAATGCAGCAAAGAGTCAAGAAGAGTATTAGTTATAATTCACTGTGAGAGAATGAACAGTGGTAAAGATACTGAGTGGAGTAATGAGTGACATCAGGCGCTAGGAGAAAATTGTGACATTAAAAAATCTCCTTCATAGAAGATACTTACACATGTACATAAAGGAGGGTGCAATTCAAAGGATGAGATAAAGACAACAGAGATAGGATACGACTGAATGTTTCTGATGCTCTCAGAAAACTATTTTAAGTATATAAAAAGCAGCAGGAGAAATGAACTCCCTAAGACTATCCTCCTTTAAGAATCTCTGAACTTTAAATCCACTCCCACAAATCACCTTTTGGCTAAATAACAGACTGGCTCATAAGATCAAAAACAGTTAAAGTGTTGTGTTCCTTTACAGAAAGGAGGGGGAGAATCATCTATGGGAACCTAAACAGTCAACATTTACCCTGAAGCAAAGATGAGGTGGGGAAAGAAACATGGAGCGGGAGGGGGAGGATGGGGTTAGAAGAATGGAAATGAAACAGCCAGACAGAAATAATGAGAATGCTGATAAAGTGTGTCCAAGTGTCAGAAATATGGAAAGTAATTTAAAAGACCATGGTTAGAATTAGGTGCACTTTAAGGTCCCTGCTCCTAAGCACCTTGACGAGGTAGATCCTTGGCAGCAGATTTTCCCAACACATCTTTTCATCTCCTGACTTCTGTTTCCAAGGGTGCTGACTGCTGATTCAGGCAAGATGAAATCATTAATACCTTCAACCTTCTTTCCACCTACCATGCTGCTTATTGGACCAATGTTAAGAATTTGTTTTCTTGATGTTGAGATGTAACAAAATCTCTGATCTTCTTTCTGTACAAGCACCTCAAGACCTCCTTGCTTTCAGGAGCAAAGATGCGTCATTTGCTTAAAGCAAGTTGTTGATGAGTCTTCCTCTGATTCTGATGTCACAGCTCAAGAATGATTTGCTCAGTATCAAATAGATATGGAGAAAGAATACAGCCCTGATACACCCTTTCTTAGGTTTGTACCATGTAGTATTTCTATAATGACAACTGCCTCCTTGTCTAGGAATAGGTTTTGCATGTCCACAACTAGGTGTTCTAGGATTCCCACTTTTCTCAATGTTAGTCATCATCCATATAGTCAAAAGCCTTTGCAGTCAAAAAAACACAAAAAGGTATCCATCAGGTTATTTTCTGCTTTCAGTCAAGATCCATCTGACATCAGTAATGATATCCCAGGTTGCCACAGCCTCTTCTAAATCCAGCCAGAATCTCTGGCAGTTCTGTGACAATGTATTGTTTCAACTGTTTTTGGATGATATGCAACAAGATTTTACTTATGAAGGAGTAGCTATAAAAATCACTATACTTTTAAATAATATTGACACAAAAGGTACATGCTATTTCTCCTAATAATATCTAGTTAAATATTATAAAAGAAGCATGATTGCAGTTTAATGTTTTTTGTTATGTTTTTGAAAAGTTTACAGTTTATCTTTGGCTACCTACACACTTTGTTTTGTAATATCAATTATAATGGATCAAAGGAAGAAATAATTACAATGTCTTGCCAAATCCTTCAGTGCACTGTTTTGAAGGAAAATCCCCAGTTATTCATACCTGTGTCTGAATATCATCCCCTGTGACGATGTTACCTACAGCTCGCAAAGCAGGAGACACCACTTTATAATCATTATGCCTGAAACCATGGAAAGAAATATTATTTTTATTGAACAGTTGTAATCTTCATTTCTTCTTCTGCACACTGAAATACATTTCGTATCCCTATAGTGGATACGAAAAAAATTATATCATTCTGATGTAATATTTAGTACCCTCTCAAAGAAATGTTTTTTCGCTTACTTAATATTTTTGGACTTTAAACTACTATCTTTCTAGTCATCTTCCCCCAAATCTTTAGAACAAATTTCATCTTCTTTTTACTCAGTCCTCTACAGTTGCTGAAACAATGGACAAAAGCCATTAACATTTATAGGACACTGTTATGAGGTAGACAAGTTTACACAATCTCTGCATTTTTACACATATGAAAATCGTACGTGAACAGTTGAATGAACTAAAAAGATTCAAGTAATGAACTGTTTCTATTAAGGTTAACTTGCACTAGCAAAAGAAAAACCTCAATAAAGTCCTTTACACATATGAAAATAGATTTCAGACTAAAAAGTCAGTATTTTTTAACTTTTTCCTCATAAATCCCATGTTCTTTTTCTTTAATGAGATCACTTTTTTGTCAAAACTGTGTCGGTCCCATCATTTTTATGTTAAGATCTAATGATGGTTAAAATAGGTAATAATCTAGTGACTAAAAGGCACAAAGATCACATCCGAGAATTTTAGTCATGTACTTCAAATTGGCGCACCTTCATACTGAATTCATTTACAACTGCATAAGACTGCTGATCAGCACTCCACTACCAGCTATATAATCCCAGAGCTTTGTATTCCTTATCTCATGTTTCAGTAAACCACCTACTCCATAATCAAGTAAAAGAAGATTCAATGTCTGACACTAATCTAAATTAAAATCTAAATGAGACAGATAAGAAATGACTACTTTCAAATGTGAATGAAGGATAGTGTGAAACACAATGTATACAAACTTCATACGCAAATCAGTGTAATATTTTAAAAAAGAAATACACACATGAAAGTGGGGGAAAAAAAGAAATGACTACTGTAAGTGGCAATATGATTTTGCTTTTCCAAGAGTCAATGTCATCCAGTATGAGCTAAAAGCATGTATGTCAGTTTTCTAAATACTTTCTGCTGGAGGATTGCTAGTAGAAGGGATGACTGAATTTCTTTATAATTCTCATATTTAAAAACAAACAATGAATATTGGAAAAAATAATGAAAGAGAACACAGTAATCAGGGAATTAATTAACACAGAGATAAAAGAGCAGGTTGCCTTTCTTAAAGGTATCTTACATGAGAAGCTCCACAAGTCTCCTGCAGACTCCTGCATCAATGACCGCTTGAATTTTATCATTGGGTCCATCTGACAGATATGAGAGAGCCCAGCAGGCATCAGCCAATACATCAGTGTCATTGACAAATAACAACCAGGAAAGTACATTCAGACAGGGGGAAACCTGTAAAATGAAAAAAGACAGGAATTTTAAGAAAATCCAGTAGGATAAAAGCTAGAAGCTGGGTGAGCTCATTGAGTGATATACACTTCTAGGAACAGGGGGAAAGAATGGTGTTTCCAACTTTAGAAAAGATCTTGATCTTGGAGTTGACTTTAACAGGGTTGTCAGAGCTCATGCAGGAAGTTAAATGTTACATACACCCAACTGTCGGAGTGAAATTCCTTCACAGAATACACTCTTTGTATACCAAAGATGTAAAGGAAATTTCATGACTTTGAAAGTGAGGAAATTCTGAATTTTAGATAGTATTATAGATTTTAAAATTATTAGCCTTTAAAATAGATTCAAGGCCTTTACAGACAGTGAAAGAATATAAAAATAATTTTTTTTTCCAAACTGAAATAAAACTCTAGGAACAAAAAAGCCCAGTTCCTTAAAGAAACATAAAATTCCTGTATTATTTCATTAATAATTCTTGAATTAAGCCTGAAATCCATCTTGTATATTATGATAGTCAACTGAACTCATTGCTATTTTAAGTTGATATCAACTCATGGTGACCCTCCATCAAGTTTCTGAGGGCATCAATCCTTACAGGAGGGGCACTCCCTATCTTTCTACTAAGGAATAGCTGGTGGATTTGAAATACTTGAGACTTGCTGCCTTTGGTTGGCAGTGCAACGTGTTCTAGGCGAAGCCACTAGAGTTCCTTATTATAATTACAGCACATCTGCATCCAAGCCAGCCACCTTTCAAAGACTCAGAAGCTACTCAGTACCAGCCACTGACAAGACTCTCCATGGGTGAAGACTTTTCTCAAGAACACACTGGGCTGGGCAAGAAGAGCTCACTGTGTCTATATAACTACTACTGATGGCAAGAGTAAAGTCAGCCTGGGATATTTTTTGATGGATTCTTGATAAAAGAAAGTCAAATAATTTTAAAATGAAGAAAAAAAGAAATTAATCAAGTCAATATTTTGTTTTGTTTACATTAAAACTTATTGTACATTTTTTTAGTTGCACTTCTTCTATTTTCCACAATCATAATCCCTACCTTTGCAAATTCTGGAGGTGGATTTTTTCCTCTACAGAGGTTAGACAATGCCCATACTGCATTCCGGGTCATGGTCAAGCGGTTTTGCTTCGAAAATAACCTACAAACATGATGGTACAACTGTAAACTATATACTGAACACGGATTCTCTGATGTCATAAAAAACCAGAAATGAAAAACCACTTAATTCTACTGAATAAAGAAATGGTCTCAAATAGTTTTCCCCCAAACCATACAGCTTCATTATTTTCTAACTCCACCAATGTAGAATTTTAGCAGGTAAATGAAAAAAGGGTACATGAAGAAATTATATGATCATGTTAACAAGACAATATCTGAAAAAAACAAGTAACTTCCAAAGTTCCAAAAACAAACAAGTAACTTCCAAAGATGAAATGCTTTCTAGTTTGAAAAAACAAATAAAACAAACACAAACTTACTGCAGCAGAGGGGGAAGGATATTGCAGTCTAAGACATAGTCCCTGCACATGGTACTATCTCCAGCAATGTTGCCAAGAGCCCAGACTGCCTGTGAAAGAATTTTTAATTAATGATGGTATATAATTACATCATAATTAGTTATTTAAAAAATTAACATACCACACTAACTCTTACATAGTTATGAATACTAATAATTCATCAGAGAATCAAGTAAAACCCAAGTTAGGGGAGGAAGAGAATTATTACACTAATGTATGCAAAAGAAGTGTGAACATTCAAATCACTAAGGTTATTAAAGGAAAGAATGAATTTCTTATATACATCCTTTATCTCCCATTCCTAAGTAACACTCCATACAGCTCCTGGTGTGCAAAGCCATTTAAGTTTTCTTATGTGACAAAACAACTAACAATTTAAGAGAAATCAAAATGCAGATAATCTTACTAATCTTTTGAGAGTATCAGATAAAGTATCTTGATTGTGATGATGGTTTCATGATGTATATGTATGTCACACTTACCAAATTATAAACTTCAGAAATACATGTGTGTGTGTGTGTGTGTGTGTGTGTGTGTGTGAATTCTCATGTATCTATTATATCTCAATAGGGCTACAAAGTCAGTTATTTAGCAGTAATTTATATTTAAAATTTTTATAAAGTTGGTAGGAGTAAGAAACTCGTGTTTTCTGTATCTTTTAGAGACAGAAGTTAAAAAATTACAGTATTGTGTCTTGGAGAAATTTTGTTTATATTCGCTCCAAAATTTACTACTGTACATTTAGATTGCTGGAATACTCCTCGTAATGAAGAGTGGTAAACCTTGGGCCCTGAACATAAGACCAAGAAGAGAAATCATGTTTCATCTGTTTCTCCTTGTTAGGTTTTTTTACCTGTTCCTGGACATCTTCAAACTCAGAGCTGAGCAATTCTATGAAGATAGGCACAGCTCCTGCCTGAATGACAATGCGGGTCTGAAGAGAATTTCCTGACGCAATATTTGTCAGTACCCAAGCTGATTCGAACTATAAAAATAAAAATAAGTTTTCATTATTTCATTAGAATTTATGAGCTTGTTTACTTATTACAATAAAATTTTCCCTACATGAAAAGAAAGTTTCATAGATTAGCAACTAATCTATTAGCTGAACTTCATATCTTGATTTTAAAAGAATTCCCAGGAAAAATACCTCCACCTAAAAGAATATTCAGGGTTTAAAATGTCCAATCAAGGGAGAGGTGACATGCAACCATAAAAACAACAAGGAAATGTTCCTCTATGTACTGGTATAAAATGTTCTTCTGAGACATAAATTAAAAATAAGAAAAAAAATAAAATGTAAAGTAGGTAGTACATTATCATTTTATTTTCTAAAAAGGGATATATTAATTGTAATTCATTGTTTCTAGCAGAGAATTACACAAATTAAAGAGTCTGAAAAATCACAGAACAAGAGTGGGAAAGGTTTTGTTCTCTCTATAAAGTTTAATGTGCCCATCGGAATTGTCCTTCAAGTATTAATAACAGAATAAGTAAAACAAAATTTTCCTAGGATTGGCAAAAAGAAATGGTGAGAAGATGCTTGTGTAAAGTGTATAAAAAGTGACCCATACCACCAGATGTTCTGCCGGGAAAGGAGGGACAATCTCCTCCTGTACCAGTCAGATCTGATTTGACGGTACATGCACACACACAAATAATAAAATAAAAATTTTAAAAAAAAAAAGTGACCCATGGGGGTTAAGAGGTATACAATTATAGAAATATTAACTTAATAGCAATAAGATTGCCCCAAACCAAGATACAGTGAGAAAATTTTGCTCATTCTTAATAGGTAAAAAGAATGACAGTAAACTGGGTAAAGGCTGATTGAACACCAGCCTTTGATGTTGCTGCTGAGCTGCCCTCAAATCAACGACAACACAGAGACCTTAATGAACAACAGACGGAAACCTTGCCCCATCCTGTGCCACCATGATGATCTCCACCTAGTACCACAGCACTGGTAACCAGAAGATAGGAAAAGAATTAGGGTCAATTCACCTACCCCACAACATCATACTGTTGGTTCTACACAACTCTTCTTTAGCATAGTATTAAACACAAGTACTATGCCCAACAGAGATTTCTTACATCTATTTATACACATTTTCTTACCAGAATTTTGTTTTCTTCCTTCTTCTATCTAGCCTGAGGGTGGGGGTTGGGGAAACTGACATGTCTGCCATGCAAATGACACCAATTTACAAAAACAAAAGTCAGCAAAGGATGTAGTTCTTAAAGTTTTCTAAGTCTCTGGATCAATTAAATGGCTGCTGTATGTGGAAAACTAAATCACTCATTGAGAGTAGACAAAGATGGAAGACACGGGGAAACCAATTTAACTAGCATAACTCAAAATTCTATGAATACTGGCAAATTTACAACAAAAGACTTGTAAAGAAGGGGTGTTCGTGGCATGTAGGTCAAGTGATGCTATCTGCTGAAACATGCCTGTAACACTGGCACATGAATATTTCAAATGATAACAGTCTTAGCAGCAAAGACAAGAAATTCCAAACAGCTGTATGTCAGACTATTTAGACCATGCTAAAAAGAAAGGACAGTCATCTAAAATCAGACATTGCTATTACATCAACAGGGAGGTCCATTTTAAGTATACTAGTCAAAAGGACTAATTTTTCTTTGCTGCCATTTATGCTGTAATGGAGATTTCCAAGATGAAATACTATCAAGAAGTAAAAATACAACCCCATTTCCATAGTTCAATTCCTACTGAAAATAGTACTCAAGCCTTTAATTAAGTACCTGTTTACTCTGGTACCTCTGGGTTACAGCACAACTTCGTATGTACTATGCCACCAGAGGATCCTATCTGTACACTAATATTTTTAAAGGGAACTGTGCTATTGACCAAAATGAAGTGCCTCTACAGAGTTTTTAATCTACCAGTGGGGCTTCTTGGAGGAAAACATGGGGGAATCATTTCCTACAAGAATTTATCGTCTCCCCAAAACCACAGAGCCAGCTATGAGTCGGTTCCAACTTGATGGTAGTAATATAGTAATATTTTAAAAGCATTATTTACATACGTCTAACATAAAAAGGGAATACTGCATTATTTGGAAGACACACTGTTTACTGAAGCACCTAATGCAGAAGAACAAAGACCAATTTGGGTTACATTTCAAAACCAAGAAACTAAAAAAATCTCATCACTGGATCAACAGTGAAAGACAGAAAATGACTGAAGCTGTGAATGATTTCATTTTATTCAGACCCACAATCAACATCTGTGGTAGCAGCAGTCAAGAAATCAAGACGTGCTGCACTGGAAAAATCTGCTGCAAAGGCCTGCTTCAAAGTTCTAAAAGCAAATATGTGCCAATATAAAGACTAAGATACATCTGATTCAAGCCATGTTTTTTTGGGTTTTTTTACTATTGTCAAATCGGATCTGACTGGTACAGGAGGAGACTGCCCCTCCTTCTCCAGGAGAGCATCTGGTGGATTTGAACCACACGCTTGAGGATTGCAGTGCACCTTCTTGCCATTAGGCCACCAGAGCTCCCAAGCTCAACTGCTTCCTATGCATCTGGAAGTTGGATAACAGAAGAATTGATGCCTTTGAATTGTGGTGTTAGTGAAGAGCACTATCTACTACTACTATTATATCTACCAATTATTAAATATATACCATGGACTGTCAAAGAGCAAACAAGTCTGTTTTGGAGAAAGTACAGCCACTGAGTTCCTTAGAGGTAAGGATGGTGAAACTGTCTTACTTCTTTTGGACACATTTTCAGGAGGAACCAATTGATGTAGAGTGACATGATGCTGTGAAAGGCAGAAGGTCAGCAAGAGAGTAAAGACCCTCAGCATGACAGACTGACACAGTGACTAACCACAGTGGGCTTGAGCAGAGCAGCAGAGATCATGAGGATGGTATAGGATAAGGTAAGGTTCCAATTTGTCATTCATAGGATCACTATGAGTCAAAGATGACTTGATGGCACCTAACAACCCAAAGAAGTAACGTATCTGGTCTTTATACAATATAGAAATGAAGAAATGACCAGAAAGGGGGGAAAAATCACGTGATTTGAAGATGATTAGCTAGACCGAGAACTGGATTACAAGTCCCCTAATGTCCACAAAAGGAATCCTGATAGTGTATTATGTAATGAGTTGAGCTACTAACCAAAAAACTGTGGTTCAACTACACCAGAAGCTCTGCAAACAACAAATGCTGGCAAGGTTGTGGAGACTGGAACCTGTATTCACTGCAAGTGGGAATGTGAAATGACATAACCACTATAGAAGACCGTCTGGTACTTTCTCAAAAAGCTGGAAATAGAAAAACCATTTGATCCAGAAATTCTACCACTGGGAATATACCCAAAAGAGATCAGTGCCATAACTCAAACAGATGTATGTATACCCATGTTTACTGCTGTGTTATTCCCAATAGAAAAGGGAAGGAAGCAACCCAAGTATCCATCAACAAATGAATGGATTAAAAAAAAACCCTGGTATATCCACAAAATGGAGTATTAATAAGCAGCACTGGAAAATAATGAACTTCTAAAATATTACAAAACATGTAGGAGCCTGGAAGACATTTTGCTGAATGAAATATCTGAGTTACAAAATGACAAATGCTGAAAGACACGGCTGTTATAAAATAGGACTGACATGAGGGGTTTGTAATAGAGAAAAGAGTAGATAGACAATAAACACTGCACTGGAACTGATGAGGAGAAGAACTGTCCAAAAGAAATATACTATTAAGCACTGTATGTATGACAACAAGCTGTAAAAGAACTGTACTGCTAAGTGGATTAGGGGAGAGGTAAGGGGGAAAAATATGCAACAATAAATGAGCAAGACAAAACAAAAAGATGAGCAGTCTTCATCTGTAAAGATTTATAGACTCAGAAATCCAATGGAGAATTGTTATGACTAAATCTGATGAGAGTGGGTTTGGTTTAGTGTCTATGAAGTCCAGTCACTCCTCCTCAAAATATATCCATAACACTGGCATAAGAATCTTTCAACTCCTTGTCTGGGTATGTAGGATAGGAAATTTCAAACAGCTATATGCTAGACTATTTGGAAACAATAAGAAAGAAAAAAAAGAAGGAAGAAAAGATCATCTATAATATTGTCACCTTTGCTAACTAGGGAAACAGTTGATTTAAAAAAAAAATAAATAAAAGAGTCTGCTCTCCCATGTTTATCGTGGCTTTGTTCACGATAGCAAAGAGTTGGAAACAACCAAAGTGCCCATCAACAAATGAATGGATAGAAAAGCTGTGGTATATTCACACAATGAAATACTATGCTGCATTGAAAAACAAGGAACTCATGCAATATTATTCAAAATGGGTGACTCTGGAGGACATTATGCTGAGTGAAGTATCTCAGTCACAAAAGGACAAATGCTGCATAGTGCCACTGTTGCAGAACGGGACTGACATCAGGGTTGGGGTGAGACTGAGAAAAATTGGATAAATTATGTACACTGCATTGAAACAGATGAGGGAGAGAACAGTTTAAAAACGATATATGAATGCACATTCAAAAACTTCTCCAACAGGGTAAAAAGGGAAGCCACCGACTGGGAAAAAGTATTTGGTAATGACATATCAGATAAGGAACTTATACCCAGAATTTAGAAAATACTTGAGCACCACAACAAGATAAAGGTAAATAATACAATAGAAAAATGGGCACAGGATATGAATAGACACTTCACCAAAGAAGATATTCAGATGGCCAACAAGCACATGAAGAAATGTTCAAAATCCCTAGCTCTAAGAGAGATGCAAATTAAAACAACTATGACATACCATCCCACCCCAGTCAGAACAGCAAAATTTAACAAAACAGCAAGCAACAAATGCTGGCGGCGTTGCGGAGAAACTGGAACCCTTATTCACTGTTGGAGGGAGTGTAAAATGGTGCAACCACTGCGGAAGGCAGTATGGCGCTTTCTCAAAAAGTTGCAAATAGATACCATTT